CAGGGCGGCCACACCCTAGTCCGTGTCGACAATCAAGGCGTCATGTTCATCCTACGCAAGGGCGGCTCAAGCACCACCGAGCTCACCCTCACCTGCAAAGAAATCATATCTCTTTGTACGGAACACTCGGTTTGCTTGGCGATCGAATGGATCCCTCGCGAGTTGAACACCCATGCGGACGAGCTCTTCAAGCTGCAAGACCATGATGACTACACTCTAAAACAACCGTGGTTTCGCCTCCTTGAACGACGTTGGGGGCCCCACTCCATCGACCTATTCGCAAACGCTCGCAACGCGTTGTTACCCCGCTTTTGCTCGAAGGTGCCCCATCCCAAGGCTGAAGCGGTCAACGCATTCTCGACGGATTGGGGGGGAGTGCACGGTTTCGCGTTCTCACCCCCCCACCTCATCCCAGCAACCCTTCGGCACGCGCAACGCACCCACGCAAAGATCACTCTTGTGATTCCACAATGGACAGGGGCTGCTTGGTGGCCCCTTGTGCAGCCATCTCCCCAGACATGGGCCAAGGGGATCACCAGCCACCTAGCACTTGCAAGCGGTAGTCAATGCCTTCACCCAGGCACACACACATCTTCGTTCTCAGGCGCTGGATTTCCAAATAGTCCCATCCTTGCATTGGCTATAAATTTCTCAATGTAATTGCATGCTCTTATTGGCGGTCATCAGCTAAGTGAGGGCCCCCTCCACCATCGAGACCTATGAACCTTACTGGCTCAAGTTCCGAGCCTTCTGCAAGAAGGTTTCGCTGAGCTACCTGCCTACCACGGACCTGACACTCGCGCTGTACCTCGTGCACGCCCTCAAGCACAAAGCCACGCTATCTGCTATCACACTAACATGCTCTGCGGTAGCCTTCGCACACAAAATGATTGGGACGGCGTGTCCCACCGACGGCCCCTTCACATCGCAAGTACGCGAGTTCGCCAAGCGCCACGCACCGCGCCCCAACCGGACCAAAGATCCAGTCTCGCTTCACCAGGTCCATAGCATGGCTCAAGAGTTTCTCACATCCCACATCCCATCCGAATTTCAGAAAGGTCTCATTCCGCTCTTGATGTATACTGGGTTCCTACGCTACTCCGACCTGGTCGCGATTCAGTGGCAGGACATTCAATTCGAGGATACGGCAATGTGGGTTCTAATCCCACACTCCAAAACTGATTAGGAGAGCAAAGGAGTGTGGGTCCCAGTCGCGGCAACAGACGGGCCATACTGCCCAGTCCAAACCACCCAAAAATTCATCAAGATTGTCGGCTATGACTCATCAACCGAAGGCCCCCTCATCCGAGTTTTCCCACGTGGCGCAAAGGCAACACCACAAGACAAATCTCCCTCATACCCCACTCTTCGGAACTGGCGTTTGGAAGCCTTCTGCAAGGTCGGGCTCGACGCAAAGCACTTGGGCACCCATTCATTTCGCAAAGGTGCAGCAACGACAGCTGCCGGAGTCGGGATCACGGATCGAATGTTCAAACGTCTAGGCCGTTGGCGCAGCGACACTGCGAAGGAGCTCTACGTCACCATCGCTCAAGACCAGCTCGTTGCAGCATCCCGGCTGATCCAGGACCCCACACGAGCCCCATCCTCCAACCAGCATCAGCTGTCTATCCAGCGACAGCGCCGTCCTCCTCTGCACATGTCTCAGCAGACCCAGATGAAATGAAGTACGATGCCTATTACAAGTTGCAATAAGCAAGCTTTCACAATATTATAATTTTTGAAAGTGTATTCACTTTCTAAAATTTTGTATTGTGATAGTGAAGCGATTGACAACGCAGCAAAGGCAGCGTCGCATCGCTACTCGCCCTCTTTTGGCTACAAAAGATGGGTTGGAGGCCATTTGGCCTCACCCACGTTCTTCTTTTCAGATTTTTGTTTGAGTTCCCCACCCTCCCACCCTATGTAGTGAAATTGTATGTTGTAGACCTTTGGACGAGATTGATGTACTCTTACCCAGATGAAATGAAGCACGATGCCAGATGAAATGAAGCACGATGCCTATTACAAGTTGCAATAAGCAAGCTTTCACAATTGTAATATATGTTTCGTCTGAAATCGAAACATGTTAGAGTACGGGGATTTCCCGCAGAACATGCTCTGACAGGGCAAATCTGTCGGCAAAGCGAATCTATTGTGTTGTGTAAGGTCGAATCTCTGTTCGCAGCAAGAACGAGAAGAGTTTGTGGCTCCAAGTTGACATGGTAGTGTACTGGACAGTGCGTTGCGCTGCGCTGAGAAATAATTGTTCAAACCCCATGCGAGCACCCACCACCACTCTCACATTGGCCAGAAAGGTGACCTTCATTCTCAGGAAGAGGTAGGCATGGCAGACACCTCCACTTGGCTGACAAACGACATGTTGGAGAATCAAGTTTCTGCCGCCCCAGCCCTTTGCACACAAGGAGCAGCAAGAGGGGGAATGTCGGCGACGGATTGAAGGCTTCACAAACAAATCAGAGAGTTTCTCAACCAATCAGATTGAAGCCGGATTCTCGATACAGTTCGGAATCGTTTTCAAGAAGAAGTGTCAACTGTTTCTACAGGTCTCTACCAAACAAAATCAGCTATGATAGAGAATTCCAAAGCTTTCTTATTCATGCACCTCATGTGGCTCTCAAGTCACTCAAGGTTCATGGAATCTGAATTGTGTCTAAGTTCTCTAGGAAATTGCCTTGTCTAGCAGCCTAGTTTGAGCTATCAATCTGCATGACTGTAATGCTTAAGAAGTTGTGCCTTAGTGGGCTTGTACAATCTTGAGCATAGTGTAAGTTTTCTCTCACCAAGCCAAGTCCAGCAGCTCTGTTGAGCTTTTCCAGCCAAGTTTCCAGCCTTCGAGTCATCAGAGCTACTCTGTTTTACAAGTCGGCAGACTTGAGTCCTGCGCAGCGTTCGCCTAGCCCCTGAGGACGCGTCACAATTGCGGCATCGAAGAGGATTGCGGTCACAGACCGAAGCTACAAGAATCGATCTCCTCTCAGCCAGATGTGTCGCGATTGTCTTCAGGTCCGATAGCTAGCGGGGTTAGAAGCCTTTTTAAAAGTTAAAAATTCACTACGTAGGATTTTAGTGCGGTGACGGATCGATATGGAAGGGACATCACGTTCGGATCTTAGCGTATTTTAACAAAAACGGGATACAAGATACGGCGAACTACTGTACACTCGGAAATTCGATCTCCCGCAGGATCGATAACGCAATTGTGACGCGTCCTGACAGCCTGTATCCATGCCATAAGAGGGTGTCTCAGAAGTCTGAGTCCACGTGGGTCCGGCTCGGACCTGACAGACTAGCTCAAGAACCAGCGCGTGAACCAGGGCGGACCGGGACCAGGATGCGGGGCCTGTAACGCCGTTATACCGTTTGAATGGCACTAAAACGGTGCCATTTATTTGGCCCTCCAGACCAGTCCGCGCCTGGTCCGTAAACAATAGGTGGTGAAACATTTATTTTTGCGAAATTTCTTGTTTTGTAAGTTTCGCGTGATATTTTTTTGCAGACGAAGAAAATGGGTAACTAAATTTCAAATTCGTTGCTACTGCTGCATCTCGCAAATACTGTGCAGCCCGAAACGCGACGGATTTGCCAGACCAGTCCGTGTGTTGTCCAACGCTGGTCCGCCAAGTGTGTCCGTCGGACCAGAACCCCGGACCAGGCGTAGATTCTGATCGCGGACCAGATCCAGCAGACCCTTCACATAAGATACGTCCTAATTCCCAAGATATTATCAGCTCCTCCTTCAGTCTTGCTCGTGATGCGGCATTCAGTAGCAGTTGCCTGCCAGGGCAACGATGTCTTCCCCTTCCGCCGGTGTGTAGTGCATTTGGATTGGATGTGCGAGCTGGCCGGGAGGCCGATAGGAGCTGGCAACTGCAGCCAGCGGCGTCGTTTGTCTATCCACTATCCGATTTCGAACGAAACGCAAACGTCTGGAAGGTTTTCACCGCTAGCCGGTGTACACGTGCCTCATATCACACAACGACCCTCCCACCCCCCCCCCCCCCCCCCCCCCCCCCCCCCATTCTACATGCATGTGACAGGCCGATTTCGAGAGGATCATCAGATGCTAGTGTGCGATATATTATTAAATATCAAATCGCCACCTCCTATTGGAGGTTTTACGTCCGGAAATGTCGGACATCAAGCCACAACTAAGCGAGTGCAATGATTGCCGCTACCCCTTCTCGTCAGCCCACTTGGCCACACTTGACCTCGACATCCTTGCACGCGCATCACATCGCATCGCATCACCACCTTCCACCAGCTGCACTTCGTCGCACACCTCCTCCTCCCACGCGAGTCACCAACTGCGCGCGTTTGACGAAGAAATGTGGCGAGAAAGCATCCCTCGCATGCCAAGACGAGACGAGACGGCATCATCAAGAAGCGCACGATCAGAGCCCAGGCCTGAACGCCACACTGTGGCGAATCAGAGCCAGGGACTGAACACCTGCCCACAATCACGCCTAAGCTGTGTGCATGGGTCGGTGATGTCATTCCATCCCCTGATAGAGTCTTGCGAGACTCAAAGTCAGGCTTTCGTCAGCTAGCTCCGAGCTACCAGCATGACTTGTCTGAAAACCAGCACTACTTCCACCGCTATCACGAGCAGCTCGACTACTATTGCAACCGTTGCGCTGTGGGCTGGGCTAGTATTAAGGGCATCTGCTGCGCCTAAAGAGCAGCCTCGATTTGGCTCAGCAAGGCGTTATAGCCGATATACCGCATTCCTCTGAAGCCGTTGACTCGCCGGCCTCGCAATCTCAATCTACAGCGCCCGGCATGCAGCCATGGTCGCCAGAGGTGGGTCGCCAGAGGTGGGTGGGTTGCCAGAGGTGGGTGGGTCGCCAGAGGTGGTCGCGGCGAGGGGTGCGTCCGGAAGATTTCAAGATCCGCCGGATTCTACGCTTGGAATGGGATTCAGAATTCACTTTTGCATTTCCCCTTGTTATGTCAGCATTCACACCCCAATGCCGCTCATCATGGGAATGCCGCACTCACTCTGTCTTTCCCTCCGTTCCACACTGAGTGGGCAGGAGGACGCGGTGCCGCTGCGCCACGCGCTGCAGTGCGGCACGAAGCAGTGGGGCGAGCTGGAGAGGAGCGGTCAGCTCAAGAGGAACAACAAGTCGTGCTGTAACCGTTACATCTTCCTCCGAAGGTAACCCATGCTTCATGCCACATTTGTGATTTTCTGAATCCAGGCGTCGTGATACCCGTGAGCATTTCTAACACGCCTCAGCCTTCCATAGCGCTTCTTCTCTTCCGTGGTCGTGTGCTGATGGAAGGAAGTTCACAGACCGCTTTCGCCAGAACTTCCTGCGAAAGCACCTGGGAGCTACTGCACTCCTGCAGCATATTCCATTGGATGGCCACAGCCAGGCATTGCTCTGTCAGGATCTCAAGCAGCAGCAGTCGGAGCATTCGGAGGGCGTGGGAGCAGCAGCCCTGGCGTTCGGAGGGCTGTCATATGAGGAGAGCGTGATGGCGTTCTTCGCCCCCCATGCACCGTTGCCAACAACAATGCTCCCCAAACTCGCTGCTCTGTCTGGCTCCGCTCCCTGCATTGGGGATGGTTCCACACTGCAGCATGTGGAGTGGCCGCGCGTTGGATCGGAGAGTGCCCTTTTAGACGACATGCTCCTGGGACTATGCTGCGAGGACCCTGCCTCCGCACAACGTGCTGCTCTCTCTGCTCCTCCGCCGACGCAGCCACGCGCACCCGCTGCTCTTTGTGCCTCCACTCTCGGCAGCACGAGCAGCTGCATTTCAGCGGTGCTTGCGGGGAGTACGTGTGGCACAGAGGAGCAGGAATACGTTGATGCATGCATTGACGCGCTCTGGAACGGAAGCAACATGGACAACAATAGCAACGGCGCTGACAACAAGAGCAACGGCGCTAACAACAACAGCAACGACGCTGACAACAACAGCAACGGCACTAACAACGGGGGCATTGACAACCATAGTGACAGGGACATGGGTGCTCTCTTTCTCAACATTCCTGTTGTTCATGTGCTGCTGAGTGGGAGTGCCCTCACCCTGCCCTTGCCCAGTGGGCCTCAATCTCAGGGGCCTGCACCCCCTTGTGCTGCCGGGACAGTCGTGTCAGGGTGGGCGGTGGAGTAGGGAGTGACCGGGGAGGAAGGTCGTCAGTTACACAGGCAGCAACAGTTTCTCACCAACGTGGCTACGCTTGCATAGTGGAATGATTGTCGGCATGTAGAGTTTGAGCGCGTTATCTCTATGCCACCGCACCAGCCACAGCCACAGTTACAGCCACAGCCACAGCTACAGCCACTGCCACCAACGCCTTGGCTGACAGTGCCTGGTCAACTTTCAATTGGCCCTGGCACCACCAATGGCCTGTACACGCCGTCCAATCCAAGGGGCTCGCACATGCAAGCCCCCATACAGCCACGCCCAGTTGTGCTGCAACAGCCCTTCTCCTCCGGTGCTCTATCAGCTCTCTGCCACCCCCCCGTTGCCTCCTTAGCCCGACATGGCGTTTACTCTGGGAGCTGATGTCGCTGCTATGAATCCCATCAATGGTCGTCAGATCAGACTGGATGTGCGATGCTATACTAATCTGTTCAGAATCAACTTGCTCAATACTAGCGGGGATGGGATTAATGGTTGACCATACGATTGTTGGGCATAAGGCACATTCTTCTGACTGAACTGAGATCACAACATGTTTTGCTGACTTGCTCGCGACACTTGCTGCTAAGTGGAGCTTCTGTCGTTTTGTGTATAATACTTTGTGTATGCAATGGAAACAACTACTGTATTGCACTAAGGGACAAAAATGGTACAATGTGTGGGTAGATGGGCGCATAAGCATCCCCAGGTAATCCCATCTCATCTCCTTAGGTTTTGTTGCAGGGAAGGAGCAAGTCCACTCTTAGGCATATGGTTACTGGTGTTGTGGTGGCGATTGTGGTGAGTACATTTGTGGCCAACATACGGTATGTTACTGTGTTTTGTAGTGGAACTGTTGTAGTCAAGTGTTGACTCGTATGCTTAGAAGAGTATTTGTTAGGGGGAGAAGCGGGCATTGTTCACAAGAAGCAGGACCACACATACGTATTTAGCACAACTTGAGATGCATTTTGAAATGAATGATTATTTCCAACCCACGCGAGTACACCCACACGCGTTTGGGCACAAGGCGACCCTCAAGTTCAGGAAGAGGCAGACACACATCTCCACCTGACCACACCGTCAAGAGTGACAGTTGCCCAACCCATAAACTGCTATTGCACGCCACAACAGTTGCCCAACCCTCAAGATAGTATCCGTTCCGCTTTCAGCCTTGCCCTTGATGCGGCATTCAGCAGCAGTTGCTTGCTTGCATTGCTTGCTTGAACGGTGGATGGAAGTTGGGCCAATGGTGTTGAGCAGCTTCATCCAGCGGCTTCGTACGAAATCGTCCGATGGTGCAGTCTCTAGTGCAGTACACGTATCAACTATCCGATTCGAACAAATCGCAAGCATTTGGACAGTTTCCACTGCTGGCCGGTGTTCACGTGCCTCGTGTCGCACGACGGACTCCTCCCATCCACACTCAAGTGACAGGCTATCACGAATTCGAGGAGGACCATCTGATGCTAGTGTGCTTTATACGATTCAGCACTAGGTTGCCCATTCTTATTGGAGGGCGTGAGAGCGAGAATGCCGGAAAACCGGCTACCACTAGGCGGGTGTAATGATTCCCTCCAAGATTGTGCAATGATCACTAGGGGTACCCTTCTCGTCAGTCCACTGGTCCACACATTTGTGACGTCATCCTCGCCCACGCATCACCCGCTTTCCACCTGCCCTCCTGTGACGGGACTGGACGGGAGGCTCCCGCCCGTTGCACACTCCTGCCACGCGACGCGAGTCGCTGGCTGAGCGCGTTTGAGGTGGAATGGAACTGCGGCGAGAAGGCATTTCTCGGCCAGGACGAAGCCCCGTCGCCCGAGGCGGCAAGGCCCACACACACAGCCCGGGGATTTGATTGATCCCCAGCCCGGGGGCTTGGCAAGCCTGGGTCTTTCTGGGTCATTCCGTTGAAGAGAGATACAGACTTGCAAGGCTCGGAGTCATGCTTTCGTCAGTTGCTTGGCCGCCATGTCGCATTCCTCTGAAGCCGTTGACTCGCAATCCGCGTCGCCCGGCATGCAGCCATCATGGACGCGAGAGGTGGGTTGCGAGAGGTGGTGGGTCGCGAGAAGAGCGTCCAGTGGAGAATTTTAAGTTGCTCCGATTTTAGAGTTCAGGTTGACAAGGGGATTCAGGATTCAATCTTTGCAAGTCCTTTTTATGATGTCGGTGGGATAGTACTTCCTTAGTGCATCAGGACACGTTTTGAGCCGCGCACTTCCACACTCAATGCTGAACGCCGCACTCACGCTGTCTTTTTCTCCGCTCCGCGCCGACTGCGCAGGAGGACGCGGTGCTGCTGCGCCACGCGCTGCAGTGCGGCACGAAGCAGTGGGGCGAGCTGGAGAGGAGCGGTCAGCTCAAGAGGAGCAACAAGTCGTGCTGTAACCGTTACATCTTCCTCCGAAGGTACTAACCCTGCATGCCGCATTCATAATTCATTTGGCTCAGGCGTGCTGATACTCCTCAACCTTTCTAAACCTCTCTCTCTCTCTCTCTATCTCTCTCTCTCTCTCTTTCTCTCTCTCTCTCTCTCTCTCTCTCTCTCTCTCTCTCTCTCTCTCTCTCTCTCTCTCTCTCTCTTGCGGCCGTGCGGTGATGGCAGGAAGTTCACAGACCGCTTTCACCAGAACTTCCTGCGAAAGCACCTGGGAGCTGCTGCATTTTCCCGGCCCCTTATTCCATTGGACGGCCACAGTCAGCCACTGCTCTGCCAGGATTTCAAGCAGCAGCAGCAGCAGCGCTCGGATGGCGTGGGAGCAGTGGCACTGACATTCGGGGGGCTGTCGTACAAGGAGTGCGTGATGGCGTTCCTCGCCCCCAATGCTCGCTGCTGCCTCCCAGCAACCCCGCCCAACCTCTCATCCCTCGCCACCCCTCCTCCCGCTTCCCAGACTCCTTTTCCTGCTTCCAAAACCGCCTTCCTCTCTGCTGCTGCTGCTTCTACCACCGAGTTTCCATTCTCCCGTGATGCCGTCCCCGTTGCTGCTGCCTCCAGTGCCGCTGCTCTGCGCCGTGCAGTGAAGCGGCCAAGGGACGACTGCGTTGGGAGGGGGGACGACTGCGTTGGGAGGGGGGACGACTACGTTGGGAGGGGGGCCGACTGCGTTGGGAGGGGGGCCGACCAACGTCTGCCGGGTGGTTGTGACAGCCGGTTGGTGCGAAGCGGGTTGGTGCGAGACGGATTGGTGCAAGGTGGGATGGTGAGTAGCACGGAGCGCCGGCATCAGTCAGCAGTGGCGGAGCAGTTTGAGCAGCAGGGGGCGAGCAGCAGCGTGCAGCAGGCAGCGGACGAAGCCCTTCTGGAGGCTCTGCTGCAGGAGGAGCGTCGCCAGCTGCAGCAGGGAGGAGCGGGTAGCAGGGCGCAGCGGGTGCTGTGGCCGCGCGTTGGGTCAGAGAGTGCCCTTCCAGTCGACGTGCTGCTGGGATTCAGCTGTGAGGACCCTGCCTTCACGCAACGCGCCGCTCTCTCTGTTCCTCCGCCTACCCAGCCGCCCAAACCTCTGCCATCGCCATTGCCTCCCCAACTCGCTGCTCCGCCTGGCTCTGCTTTCTGCATTGGTAATTCCACCCCTTGTGCTGATTTCGCGGTGCAGCGGGTGGACTGGCCGCATGTTGCGTCGGAGAGTGCCCGTGACCTTCCACACGACGTGCTGCTGGGAGACCGTACCTCCGCGCAACGTGCTGCTCTCTCTGCTCCTCCGCCCACCCAGCCACTTGCACCGCTGCCAGCAGCAATGGCCTCCCCACTCGCTGCTCTGCCCGGCTCTGCTCCCGGCAGCACAAGCAGCTGCATTGCAGAGGTACTTGCTGGGAGTACGTGTGGGTGTGGCACAGAGGAGCAGGAATACGTGGATGCATGCATTATCGTGCTCGACAACGGAAGCTCCACCGACAACAACAGCAACGGCACCGACAACAACGACAACAGCAACAGTGGCAACGACAACCAGAGTGACAGGGACAAGGATGCTCTCTTTCTCGACACGCCCATGGCCCACCTGCTGCTGGCTGGGAGTGCCCTCGCTGTGCCCTTGGCCAGTGGGCCTCAGGCTCAGGGGCCTGCACCCCCCGGTGCTGCTGGGCCACCCCCCGGTGCTGCTGGGCCACCCAGTCGGGCTGCTGGGTCAGCCGTGGCAGAATGGGCGGCAGAGCAAGGAGGGGCCGGGGAGGCAGGTGCTGACTGGCACAGGCAGCAGCAAGGGCTCACCCAGGAGGCGACGCTTGCACAGTGGAAGGCGTGTGGGTGTGTAGAGCTGGAGTACATGCCCTCGCTGCCACTGCACCACCCACTTCCACAATCACAGCCGCCGCCACAGCCACAATTACAGCCGCTGCCACGGCCACTGCCGCGGCCGACTCCAAAGCTACTCGCACTGCCACTGCCACCAACGCCTTGGCTGAGAGTGCCTTGTCAACTTCCACTGGTCCCTGCCGCCACCAGTGCACTGAACACGCCCTCGAACCCAAGGGGCTCGCACATGCAAGCTCCCATACAGCCACGCCCAGCCGTGCTGCAGCAGCCCTTCCCATCCGGTGCTCTACCGGCTCTCTGTTTGACACGCCCTGCCATGCTGCCTCCGTGGCCTGACATGGCCGTTACTCTAGGAGCTGATGGCATGCTTTGAATGGTACTAACGGGGATGGGGCATTGGGGCTATGCTTGACCATGGGAATGGTGCATACAGCCCTTCTTCCTCATGGGATGTCTCCAAGCTTCATCCCATCATCATACTGAGACTGCACATAGTTGAGCAGAAATCATTCTGCCTTGATTGACTCCACCGAGTTGCCAAAGTGAAGCTCACATGCCAGTTCGTAGAGTAGGTGTTTTTTTATGTCTGTTTTTTTTCTAGAACTGTATTTTGTAACCTCAAACTCCCGTCAACCATCTCAATATCCGCGTTAGTCACCTCTTGTGAATGTTGTTCTCCATCGCTGCGTGGCAACCCTACCAGTGCAACCCGCCGTTCACATGTAACAGTCACACTGTGGCAGCTTGCTGGTCCGATCCGACGGCGCGCCTTACTACTGAGGGCGTCACTGTTCGCAACTCCGCGTTTCACGGCGTCGGCTCACGCTCGCTCGGCGTTATTGCATACATGTCCGTACCTGGGCCTGAAATACGCATTGCGCTACGAAGAACCGCAATAATGACGGCCGTTCTGGCATTCTTTCCACCCTCGCGAGCTTCGCCGCCCGCAACAGCCTCGCCTCGGACGTGCCGAGTCGCATGAGTCGAATCAGGGCATGGCCTGACGATCCTTGCATTCTTCACAACCACATGACGACCCTGGCCGCAGCAGGCTCGCTTTTGCCGAGTCGCATGTGCCAAATGTGGACAATTCGTGTCGCATGGGTGACGACCAAATTCCGCGAAATGCAGTCAATCTCGACTCCGGCGCGATTCCGGTGTGTGTGGGTGGATGAGTGCTCGCAAGGTTAGGGACAACACGTTGTGAGCGACACGTGGGGGGATGAGCGACACGTGGGGGGATGAGCGAGACGTGGGGGGATGAGCGTCGCGTGGGGGGATGAGCGTCGCATGGGGGGATGAGCGTCGCACGGGGGGATGAGCGTCGCATGGGGGGATGAGCGTCGCATGGGGGGATGAGCGTCGTATGGGGGGATGAGCGTCGCATGGGGTGATGAGCGTCGCATGGGGGGGAAGAGCGACATGTGGGGGGATGATAACGGGCTGTGAGGATGAGACAGCGATTGGATTCCGTCACGGGTGAGCAGTCAGTGGCCATTCATCAGTGGCCATGCATCAGTGGCCATGCATCAGTGGCCATGCATCAGTGGCCATGCATTAGTGGCCATGCATCAGTGGCCATGCATCAGTGGCCATGCATCAGTGGCCATGCATCAGTGGCCATGCATCAGTGGCCATGCATCAGTGGCCATGCATCAGTGGCCATGCATCAGTGGCCATGCATCAGTGGCCATGCATCAGTGGCCATGCATCAGTGGCCATGCATCAGTGGCCATGCATCAGTGGCCATGCATCAGTGGCCATGCATCAGTGGCCATGCATCAGTGGCCATGCATCAGTGGCCATGCATCAGTGGCCATGCATCAGTGGCCATGCATCAGTGGCCTCCGCCCGCCTTTGAGAATTCTCAAAAGTGAATTTAGCATGGCTGCATTAGTGGCCGTGTACCTCCGCTCCGCCCGCCTTCCCCCACCCACTGCCTCCCTTCCTTCACCCAAGCTTTCTGCGCCCCACTCTCTTGCTCCCTCCTTTCCTTCGCCGTGGGAGTCCCTCGCCCGCTCCCTCCTCTCTTTGTATCCCTTCGCAAATCTCTTCTGCCAATCCCTCCCTCCCCCCCTTCCCTCTCTCCCCCCTGCCTGTCTCCCCCTCACCCCACCGTGTCTCCCCCTTCCTATCTCCCCCCTTTCTCGTCCTTCCGCCATCCCACCAAGTCGGAGCACAGCAGGGCGGGGGAGTGGATGCGGCAAACAGTACAGTTGCAGCGGGCAGAGGGAATGGGGAAGGAGCAGTGGCGGGAGAAGGGGAGCTGAGAGTGCTGGGAGGGTTGGGAAAACCAAAGGAGAGCAGGGGGTGGGAAGCGGAATGGGAACACCCAGCTGCACTCCTTGTGATACGGATGGGAGGCCCGGGGCAGGGGGAAAAGGCGCGAGCCATGGGGTGAATTGGGTGAGAATGGTGCGGGAGAGGCTGGTTGACTTGGTGGAATAAGAAAGGGGGAGGAGGAAGGGCGAAGTGGGGGAATGGGGGAAGGGACTTGATTGGGCTGGGAAGGAGTGCGCTGGATTCTCAAAGGCAGCTGAAGGGGAAAGGTGTTGAGGCAGTAGTGGGCGCTTTCAGGCCAGCTGCTGCTGCCCGTGCAAGGTGAGCATGGCACAGGTGGGATTGATGCGAAGTCCCATTGATTTTTGTGCGAGTCATCAGACGCGAGCAGAGTCAGGTTCGACTGGACCCATGACACACCGAGCGGTCGCTGCATCGCCATCTGGACCGAGGCTCGATCCGAGATGAGTCACATAGAGGAAGGAATCCGACTTAATTTGACTTTTTTTCGAGCCGAGTCAAAATCGAAGAGGAGCATGATTGCATGGCAGAGCGAGTCATGTGGCACAGCTGCTGTGGGTGCTGGAAGGATTGGATGGGAGACAGAGCCAAGAGCAGTGGAAAGTGAAGGGTGAGATGGTGGGGAGAGAAGGGCAAGAAGGGGGGAAAAGTAGCGAAAGCTGAGAGCAGCGTAGAGCTGAGAACAACAGTAGAGAAGGGGGACCTGTGAGCAGCGGACGGTGGGAGGGGCAGTTGGGAGCAGCTGGGAAAAATGGGGGAGCTGAGAGCGGCGATGGAAAAGGGGCAGGTGGGAGCAGTGGGGCTGGGGAAAGACGGGGCCAGTGAGAACTGCGAGGAGGAGATACGTTGGAACCAGATGAGGTTGACACGTTGGAACTGGATGATGTTGACACGTTGGAACCGGATGATGTTGACACGTTGAGGGTGGGTGGCGTGGCGTGGGATGGGATATGAGGGTTAATATAATATGGACTGGAATGGGGCTGGATTGGGTGGGATGTAATAATCTGGAACAGGGTAGAGTGTTACAGGGTGGATGAATTGAGCCAGATGGGACAGCTGGGGTTGGGTTGGGAGGTATGTGAAGGTTAAGACTATGGGTTGATGTATATGCATAAGCATCTCCTTGTCACTCTTTCATTTCACTGAATCTGGTTGCAGGGAAAGGAGCAAGTCCACTCGACCAATATAGGTCATGAGCTCAGGCATATGGTCAGTCAACTCAGCTTATTGCGTCTAAGGGCTAGTGTAGTGGATGACTGGGAAGTATATTTGTGTTCTACATAGCGTGTTGAACTGTGTTACGTAATGGAACTGTTGTAGACCTTGTTGACTGGTATGGTATTCTTACGGTATATGGAGGAATTCTGGGGGGGACAATGTGGAAAGTTTGTATGGAATACAGTAATCATAGGTCACAGCAAGATCAAGCACCACACATAGCGTTTGGTTGCATGAGTCCCATATTCCACAAATACTATCCTTGCCAGTTTCCCACCCAACCCCCTCCGCAAACACTGTTTCAATTTTGCTAGCCAATCAGCTCAGTGTTTCAAATTGACTAGCCAATCAACTTCCTTCGTACAACCCGTAACCTCAATTCGCAAAACCAGCACCTGCAAAACAACTATCAATCAACCTTAGTAAGGTTGCCCAGCGCGGCCCGCAATTTGGGCCGCGAGCTTTAACACAACTGTACATAGTCCATGCTAAGGGCACAAATGAATGATTGTTCCCATCCACGCGTGCACACCCACACGAGCCTAGGTGAAAAGCAGACACACTCACTCGGCTGCTGCTGACGGATGGCTGATCGCACAGTCTACGGCAACACTTGATGAGTCCCTAGTTGCTGCTATTGCACGCCCCAATCTTCAAGATAGTAGGTTATTCCCGGTCTTGCCCGAGATACGGCATTTGACAGCAGTTGCTTGCCAGGTCAACGATGTCTTGCCCTCCCGTCCACCGTGATTGGATGTGCGATCCGGGGGGCCAATGGAGCTGGCAGCTGCAGCCACCGGTTTCATTTGGTGGTACTGTACACGTGCTCTCTTCCCCTATACTGTCTGATTCGGAAAAATCGCGAACACGACAGTTTTCACTGCTGGCAGTAGTTCGTTCACGTGCCTCGTATCACACGGTGAATGCCTCCCATTCCACACTCATGTGACAGGGCGAAATTCGAGGGGTACATCACATGCAACTAGTGTACTTTATACGATTTATTATGTTGCCACCTCCTATTGGAGGATTCAAGTGCGGGAATGCTGGCTATCAGTCGACAGCTAGGTCGGTGCAATGATTCCCATTACCCTTCCTAGTGAGCCCACTTGGCCCACACTTAACCGCCGCATTCTCGCTCACGCCGCATCACCCAGCTGCCCCCGTCGTACACCTTCCCGGGAGTCACCAGCTGCGCGCGTTTCAAGTCGAAATGGGGCAAGAAAGCGTTCCTCGGATGTCAAGAACGAAACGAAGCCCTGTCGTGTCGTGTCGACTCATTCCGGCTCATCAGAAGCCTCGGAGAGTCGGAGGCCCACAGTCTGGAACTGAAGCTCATCACGTTGTGCCACTGACAGTGGCACAATCAAGCCACGGCCTTGTGCATGGATCTTTGCTCGACGCTGACGTCATTCCGTTCCCTCTTGAAGGAGGGATATAGACTTGCAAGACTCACTGGCACACTCATGCTATCCGCCAGTTAACTCTTCTGGCTAAAAGCAGCACTAATGCTTTCTAATAACAGCAGCTTGGCCGCCATGCCGCATTCCACTGAAGGCGTTGACTCGTCGGCCTCGCAATCCGCGTCGCCCTGCATGCAGCCATGGTCGCGAGAGGTGAGTCGCGACTCGCGTGATCGGCCAGATTTTAAGCTTGCAATGGGAAACAGGATCCAACCTTGCATTTCCTTTTGTTATGTCGGAGGGATTATGCTACCTGTACGCGTCAGGACACGTTCAGTGTGCCTGGAGCCGCGCACTTGCGCCTCAATGCTCATGCCATTGCCTGGAGATTATACTCCGCACTCACTCACGCTACCATTGCCTCCCGCACTGGGTGGGCAGGAGGACGCGGTGCTGCTGCGCCACGCGCTGCAGTGCGGCACGAAGCAGTGGGGCGAGCTGGGGAGGAGCGGTCAGCTCAAGAGGAACAACAAGTCGTGCTGTAACCGTTACATCTTCCTCCGGAGGTACCCCTGCATGCCACAATCTTGATTTTCTGAATCCAGGTGTCTTGATACCCCTGAGCATTTCTCACACCCCTTCTCTCCTGTGGCCGTGTGGTGATGGCAGGAAGTTCACAGACCGCTTTCGCCAAAACTTCCTGCAAAAGCACCTGGGAGCTGCTGCACAACCCCAGAATATTACGTTCAACCGACACAGTCAGCCACTGCTCTGCCAGGATGTAAAGCACCAGCAGCAGCAGCAGCGCTCGGAGGGCGTGGGAGCAGCAGCCCTAGCGTTCGGAGGGCTGTCGTATGAGGAGTGCGTGACGGCGTTCCTCGCCCCCCACGCTCGCTGCTGCCTCCCACCCGCCCCCCCCAACCTCTCATCCCTCGCCACCCCTCCTCCTGCTTCCCAGGCTCCTCCTGCTGTTTCCCAAGGCGCCACCTTCTCTGCTGTGGCTGATTGTACCTACGAGTTTCCCTTCGCCCAGGATGCTTTTCCCGTTGCTGCTTCCTCTAACACCGCAGCTCTGTGTCGGGCAGTGAAGCGACCAAGAGACGATTGCCCTGAGGTGGGGGCACAAAAACCGCTGCTGGGACGCAACAGCCAGTTGCTGCAAGGTGGGGTGGTGCGAGGCGGGACGGTGCGAGGAGGGATGGTGCAAGGTGGAATGGTGTGTGGCACGGAAAGCCGGCATCAGTCGGTGGCAGAGCAGTTCCAGCAGCAGGGGGCGAGCAGCTGCGTGCAGGCAGGTGAAGCAGCCCTTCTGGAGGCTCTGCTGCAGGAGGAGCATCGGCAGCTGCAGCAGGGAGGAGCGAAGAGCAGGGTGCAGCAGGTGGACCGGCCCCGCGTTGGGTCGGAGAGTGCCCTTCCAGACGACGTGCTGCTGGGATTCAGCAGCGACGAACCTGCCTTCACGCAACGTGCTCCTCCGTCCACCCAGCCACTAGCAGCGCTGCCAGCGCCAATGGCCTCCCCACTCGCTGCTCTGCATGGCTCCGCGCTCTGCATTGGGGATTCCACCTCCTGCTGTGGGGATGCAGCTCGGTGCATTGGGGATTTCGCAGTGCATTCAATGGACCGGCCCCGCGTTGGGTCGGAGAGTGCTCTTCCAGACGACGTGCTGCTGGGGTGCAGCAGCGACGGACCTGCCTTCATGCAACGCGCTGCTCTCTCTGCTCCTCCACCCACCCAGCAACACGCAGTACTGCCAGCGCCGATGGCCCCCGTCCTCGCTGCTCTGCTTGGCTCCGCTGCTTGCAGCACGAGCAGCTGCATCACAGGGTCGCTTGCTGGGAGTACGTGTGGCAGAGAGGAGCAGGAATACATGGACACATGCGTCAACATGCTTGGCAACAAATACAACACCGACAACTGACACCATACCGACAACAGACACCATACCGACAACAGACACCATACCGACAACAGACACCATACCGACAACAGACACCATACCGACGACAGACACCATACCGACAACAGACATAACACCGACGACAGACACAACCCGGACAACAGACACAACACGGACGACAATGATAGCGAAGACCACAGTGACAACGATGCTCTCTTTCTCAACACGCCTTTGGCTCACGTGCTGCTCACAGGCAGTGCCCTCGCCGTGCCCTTGGCCACTGTGCCTCAGGCTGAGCGACCAGCAGCCCCTGGCGCTGCTGGGACAGCCGAGCCAGAGTGGGTGGTGGAGCAGGGAGAGACCAGGGAGGAAGGTCACCCGCACAGGCAGGAGTGCTTTCTCACCCAAGAGGCTGCTCTTGAGCAGCGGACTGCTTGTCAGCGTCTAGAGCTTGAATGCATGCTCTCGCTGCCAACGCACCAGGCACAGCTGCAGTTACAGTCACAGCCACTGCCACTGCCACTGCCACTGCCACTGCCACTGCCACTGCCACTGCCACTGCCACTGCCACTGCCACAGCCACAGCCGCAGCTGCAGCCACTGCCGCAACAAGTGCCTCTGCCACAGCCACAAATGCCCTGGATAGCAGTACTTTCTCAACATCCAGTGGCCTCTGTCGTCACCAGTGCACTGCACACACCCACTAACCCCACGGGCGCGCACATGCAAGCTCCCATACGGGCACGCCCGGCCATGCTGCAGCAGCGCTTCTCCACTGGTGGTGCTTTACCAGCTCTCTGCCAACCCCTTGCTGCCTCCTTGGCCCATCATGGCCGTTACTCTGGGAGGTGATGGCGTGGCGCTCCTCTGAATGCAACAGTTCGTTAGAAGCACATCTTGGATGTGCACGGCATGTTCAAGGAACAGCTGATTTGATACTGACGGGGACGGGGTTCTGATTGACCATAGACGGGTGCACATGAACCATTCGACTTCCACACATACATACAGCCGTTCTTCCTTGTGGGATGCCTCCTGGCTCCATCTCAGCAAATACTTACCCAAAGACATGGGTATCATGCTAATCGAGCTGAGATTGCACCAAAATTGCGAGAAGCTTACTTCAATTCGCTAAAGAGTTTGTGCTGCTTTTTTTTTTTTTTTTTTTTTTTTTTTTTTGCTTTGTAGAACAAGTTACGGATCTTGACAATCCCCTCTACAAATCTCGCGTTACAGTCACCTCCCTTCCAAGACGATGAGGTACCTCCCTTCGTCAGGAAGGTACGTTGGTTTCGTTATGTACGTTGGTATGTTGCAGGGATAGTAACTCATAACGGGTCGTACTGCAAGACTGAAACTGTTGCTCTGGCGGACCTTCCACGCCGAGCAGAGAGATGTGGCTGATCAACATTCCTTGCGGGAGCAATTGCACATATCACTTGGTCGCAATCGCCCGTGAATCCGTAATGATATATGCTTTCAAGGTCAAGACAGCAGTGCCGATGATTGGCTGACTGGAAAGCTTACCTCATCAAAATCCAACAAGGCCAGGTTTCGGATGGATCCTCCTCAAAGGTTCATGCGCGCCCAAACAGTAAAACACGGGCGAATGCGGGATCGGTTCCGCGTGCTCGCGGAAGCGAGCTGCCCTAGGGCAGAAAAAAACTAGAACCCGCTCGGAAGGCATGCGGTTCGGGTCGGGAGCATCAACCCTAAAATTTTAGTGTTGAGGTTCCCGAATGGCATGCCGGTCGCGATGGGGAATATATTTTTTGGCCCCGGGCAGACAGCTTCCGCCAGCTCGCGCGTCCTGGTGGGCTCGAAACCCACCAGAAGGGGCACCTGGTGGATTCGAACCCACCAGGGCCCGGATGGACTCCGATGGGGAAAAGATCAACGGTTTTCATTCCTAAGGGAACGGTTGGCGTGGTTGCCTTGCAGTCTGTGACAGGTTCACAGTCTCTTTGGAGGAAAATGCCCGTTGTACTGAACTGTATCTTGTGTTGGGGCGGGTAGCGGGTTCGTTTACAGTTAATCGGTGGCTCAAAGACGATTCCAGACGGTGCAAAGCGGTTTTCAAGGTTCACCATTTTGTACCGTGGCGCAACATGAGTAACCTCACAAAACGAGCGAGGGACGAACGCACTGGACCCAAGTACAGTACAGTAGTGGTGAGCTTCTCCCGTCTTAGCTAAAGCATTTCAAATACTCATCATCACTTCTGCAGCGGACGGAGCAGAACCCAGCCCGCACCCCTCATCATTACTTACTAGTCCGTCGTCTTGGGTTTGGGAGATCGGGTTTGTGTAAATGAGGATAGACCCGGCGATCTGCCAGGGGACCTTCGGTGTGGACGTGTGAATGTGGGACGGAACGGAAACCCACACTGCAAGGCGAAGAAGGTTGACGTCACGTGCTGTGCTTCGCAAGGACCACGGGAGTTCGTTCGCACGAAGCCGGATGCCGGCATGATTCGCATCGAAGCACTGATGATGGCAGACAATCATGCAGCATTCCTCCCGCTTCTGCTGGTCTTGACACCTGCTTGCCACCCCCATCTTGCCACCCGTCCTCCTCCTCGTTCGCAACATGTTGCTCGTGCTACGGCTCGTAGCGAGGTGGCCGGTGAATTGCCCCAAATGGGTGCATTGCGCTGGTTACGAGCACCGCGGTATTCCTCAGCTGAGACCCATCGCCGCCAACACCATTCGTCTGCTGCTGTAACCATCACAGGCCGCCAACCCCATGTTTGCGCATTTAAGAGACGGCGAAAGACCGTAACATCTCTGTCAGCGCAATAATCTGCGATAATCTGCGATGATTGTGGAAACCTAAAGATCGTCGAATTTCAAGCTCCACGCGAGCTCTTAGACATTATCTTGCCGCACTGCTCGTTATTGGGTAGCTGGAGTCACCATCATGCCGCATTCGTCGCCGGAAACGGCGACCAGTTCGCCGCCGTCGCAATCGTCGTCGCTCGCCATGAAGCCGTGGTCCCCCGGGGTGAGCACCTCGCCTCACCTCTCCCCCCTGTCTGTAGTCCTCAATCAACTCACTAACTCTTCACATAGTACGCATCTGAAAGCGCCCCACCCTCTCGTGTCACGGAGAGTCCAGCCTCGGTAGGCCATCTGAAATGATCCAGGTCGGACCTGACAATCTGGTCCTGGTTGCACGGCATTTGCTCGGAGTCTCATTGTGGGAACTTCTGGATCTTGCATCAAGCGCATAAACCTGCTCAAACGATCTCAGTCACATTCTGTTACTGACATTCACGCCCATCCGTGCGTGCCTCCGCGACTTTGCTCATCATAATGGCAGGAGGACGCGGTGCTGCTGTGCCACGCGCTGCAGTGCGGCACGAAGCAGTGGGGCGAGCTGGGGAGGAGCGGTCAGCTCAAGAGGAACAACAAGTCGTGCTGTAACCGATACATCTTCCTCCGAAGGTATTCTGCACCCCAGCACTCTAGCGTTTCAAACTTACCAAGCAATTTCATTTCTGAACTCCTCTCGGTCCGTGTCTTGGTCGCAGGAAGTTTGTTCAACGCTTTCAACAGAACCTCCTGAGGAAGCACCTCAGACGCACTTTTGCAATGGACGGCCACGGTCACTGCCAAGAGAACCAACAGCAGCAGCAGCGCCAGGACGGCGCGGTTTCACCTGAGTCTCAATCGCCCGCCCTTTCTTTCGGTGGACTGTCGTATGAAGAATGCAGGAGCGTGTTCTTCTCACCCAATGCCCGTAGCTCTACCGACCCTCATCTGCCATCTTTCTGGCTCCCTCCTACCACCCACCACACTGCTGTCCTCACTTCCACTGCCGCCTCCAATGCTCCCTTCTCCAGGTCGCCTTTCTCCGCTGCCACTTCTCCCCCCAAAGTTGCTGCTCTCCCAAATTTCATTCCTGTTCCCAATACCGCCGCTCTCTCAAATGACTCTGTGGCGACCAACACAGCGACATACGCCAGAGCAGCAGCGCTCAGCCTTCCCATGAAGAGAGCACGGGAGGAGATGAGCTCTCTCACGGCCAACCAGCCCCTCCTGTCGAATGCCTCCCGGGATGAGCTTGGGCTGCCTCGTCGTGTGCCACAGCGGCCTCAGTCTCTAAGGGAGCTGCTTCAGCTGCGCGGCGAGAGGTGCCGGCAGCACCAAGCTCTGTGGCCTGCCGTGGGGTCGGAGAGAGCCTGGTTTGCCCATCTGCTGCTGGAGGAGCGTCGCCACCAGCAAGGGGAGAATGGCGCGGTGCAGCGGGTGTTGTGGCCGCGCGTTGGGTCGGAGAGTGCCCTTCCAGACGACGTGCTGCTGGGGTGCAGCAGCGACGACCCCGCCTTCATCCAGCGCTCTGCTCTGTCTGCTCCTCCGCCCACCCAGCCACACGCAGCGCTGCCAGCGCCAATGCCCTCCCAACTCGCTGCCGGGCCTTATTCTGCTCCGTGCATTGATGATTCCAAGCCCTGCATTGGCGATTCCAAGCCCTGCTGTGGGGATGTGGCTCCGTGCGTTGAAGATGCGCCCCCTGCTGATGCCCGTGCTGCTGTACAGCAGCTGGCCCAGTCCGTCGACTCCTGCACCCAGGAGCACGGCAACAGCTACGCGCATGACAGCAAGAGCGATGTGCATGCACACGGCAGCAGTAACCACGACATCCCAGTGCAGGGCAGCAATGTGCCCTACGGTAGGAGCGAGAGCCTCTTTCTCGACGCGCCCGTCTCCCACCTGTGCCTCGCTGAGCCTGGCCCCTCCGTGCCGCGGGCAGGTGGGAGCCTGGCACCCCCAGAAGGTGGGGTGGGTCTGCCAGAGCGGGTGGTGGAGCAGCGAGGCACCCTCGAGGGAGGTGTTGGTTCACACAAGGATCGTCGGGAGCACCCAAGCGGTCATTACCAGCAACAGCTGAGCGGTCACCAGCATTGCGTACAGCTTGCATGTGTTCCCTCGTTGTCATCACACCAGCCCCTGCCACACCTGCCACTGCCACAGGCTCAAGCACAGGCACAGGCACAGGCACAGGCACAGTCACAGGCACAGGCACAGGCACAGCCACTGATGCGGCCATTGTCCCAAGCGCCTGTGCTGTCAGGCTTTGCCAATAGCAGCCCTCAGCATTCACATGACACACTTTCACACCCAAGGGCCCCACACATGCCGGCTCCCATGCCTCCCCCTGCCCTGCCACATGCGCAGCCTGATGTGATTGCCTCGCCAAGCCTCATGAAGCCAGCGGTTGATCCTTGTTTTAATGTGGGTGATGCCCTGGGAGGTGAATCTGCTTCCTGGGAGAGCTCCTTCCCTCCCGGGCTCAACTCAGATGTGCCTTCTGCAAGCAGTCTGCTTGGGCTTGGAGAAACAGCTGATTTGAAGGTGGAGGACGGCTGGAGAATGGACATGCCTGGTGTCAACTCTGTGTGTGATGAGACCTACAACTTCCCAGACACGGCCATGCTTTCTCATGGGATATATCCAACACAGTTTATACTCCCCCAGGTGCTGTCGTCCTCACATTCACTGCCCCAGGTTCACAGGGGCCATTCTGGCCAAGCTCCTGAGGTTGCACTGGAGTTTGCCAATGCTATGCTGCCCAGCTTTCATCCCAAATACTTGGAGAAAAATCATGCCAACTTGTAATATATTATGTGGTGATGTGTGATTTGTAAATTGTGCATTGAGTCAGAGAGCGCCCTTCCAGATGACGTGCTGCTGGGAAGACCCTGTCTCTGTGCAACATGCTGCTCTCTGCTCCTTTGCCCAACCAGCCACTCGCAGCGCTGCCTGGGTCAGTGCCCTCACCACTCTCTGCTCTGCCTGGCTCCGCTATGGGCTGCACAAGCCGGTGCTTGCTGGGAGTACATGTGGCACACGGGAGCGGGAATAGAGACACACATGAATTAACATGCTCAGCAACGGAAACAACACTGACAACAAGGGCAACACGGCTCTCTTTCTCGACACGCCTGTGGCTCACGTGCTCTTGGGTGGGAGGCCCCTCACCATGCCCTTGGCAAGTGGACGTCAGGCCGAGGGACCTGCCACCCCTGGTGCTGCTGGGACAACAGTGTGACAGAGTGCGCGGTTGAGCAGGGAGAAGCTGGGGAGGGAGGTGCTGAGCGGCACACGCAGCAGAAATTTCCCACCCAGGAGGGCATGCATGCGCAGGGGAAGGCCTGTCAGTGCTTAGAGCTTCAGCGCATGCTGTCGCTGTTGCCACACACACCAGCCACAGTTGCATTCACAGCCGCCGCCACAGGAACTCCCACAGCTACCAGCACAACCGTCTTTGCTGTCTCCTTCCGCCACCAATGCACTGAACGCGCCCTTGAACGCAAGGGGGCCACAAATGCACGCTCCCTTACAACCGCGCACTGCCATGCTGCAGAGCCCTTCTTCCCGGGTGCTCTGTCAGCTTTGTGCAACCCCATGCTCCCTTCGTGGCCTGACGTGGCCGTTACATCAGGAGGTGATGGGATGCCCTGAATGCCACAGCTGGTCATGGGCTCAGCTTAGATGTTCACGGCTAGGCTCGTCTAATTTGTTCAATGAACAATGGAGTTGATACGATGGTGCTATGTGTAACCATAAGATTGGTGTGCATGAGTGCGCTGACTTCACATACTACAGCCGTTTCTCCTCATGGGATGGGATGCCTCCAGGCTGTCAAACTATAATCATGCTTGTGCTGTGTAGGCTGTAGTGGGGTAGCCCATAAGGGGTACAACCCAAATTAGGGTTAGGATATGTACCCATATCTCTGTTCAATGCATCATTCCTGCTGTTAGATTCTGACATGGTTTCAGAGCACTAGGTCCGTAGGACCGTTTTTTTTCGGGCCCACCTACCGTTGCGGTTACCACGCTACCCCACGTGTTGTCCTGCGCCTGCCTGCCTGCCTGCCTTGCCTTGTGACGCGCTGCGCTGCGCACGCCGTCCTGCAGCCCTCGCGCTGCCTACTGCTGCCCTAGGCCAGCGCGCCGCCCCTGCAGGCCCGTAAGACCCGCGCGCTGCCCCTGCAGACTCGTCTGGCCCGTGCGCCGCCCCTGCAGGCCCGTCAGGCCCGCTAGCCGTCCCTGCAGGCCCGTCAGGCCAGCGAGCCGCCCCTGCAGGCCCGTCAAGCCAGAGCGTCGCCCCTGCAGGCCCGTCAGGCCTGCTAGCCGCCCCTGCAGGCCCGTCAGGCCCGCTAGCCGCCCCTGCAGGCCCGTCAGGCCCGCTAGCCGCCCCTGCAGGCCCGTCAGGCCCGCTAGCCGCCCCTACAGGCCCGTCAGGCCAGCGAGTCGCCCCTGCAGGCCCGTTACGCCAGGTCGCCGCCCCGCGCGACGCGTCCGCTGCCCGCGCGTCGCGCTGCAGCCCCGCGCGTCGCGTCAGCTGCCCGCGCGTCGCACTGCAGCCCCGCGCGTCGCGCCCGCTGCCCGCGCGTCGCGCTGCAGCCCCGCGCGTCGCGTTCGCTGCCCGCCCGTCGCGCTGCAGCCCTGCGCGCCGCGTTCGCTGCCCGCGCGTCGCGCTGCAGCCCCGCGTGCCGCGCCCGCAGCTCGCGCGTCGCGCTGCAGCCCCGCGCGCCGCGCCCGCAGCTCGCGCAGCGTGCTGCAGCCTCGCGCGCCGCGGCTGCCCCTGGACGCCGCCCCTGCCTGACTGCCACCGTCGCTCCTGCAGCAGCTGCCACGGAGCGCCCTACTACAGTCGCGGCCCTGCCCTACAGCAGTTGCCGCGGAGCCTCCTGCCGCCGTTGCGGCCCTGCTCTGCAGCAGCTGTCGCGGAGCCTTCTGCCGCGGTCGCGGCCCTACCCTGGAGCAGCTGCCGCGGAGCCTCCTGCCGCGGTCGCGACCTCGCCCTGCAGCAGCTACCGCGGAGCCTTCTGCCGCAGTTGCGGCCCCGCCCTACAGCTGTCACGGCCCCGCCCTGCAGCAGCTGTCGCGGACCTGCCCTACCGCCGACGCGGCCCTACTCTGCGGCCGCTGTTGCGGCCCCGCTGAGCGCCGGCCCTGCCTATCACTGGTGAGCACCTACCTTGTTCGTGCGCTGCTGCTTTCCTGCCTGCCTGCCTCCTGCCTGCCTGCCTGCCTACCGCGCCTGCCCTGCACGAGCTGCTACTGACAGTGGCTAGATGCAGCTCCAGCAACGTCCGCGTGAGTCCCTCACGCCCCAGTAACTTAGTGAATGGTACGCTAGTTGGGGTTGTAGGGGTGGCCACGCTGCTACTGCTGCTACTGCTGCTACTGCTGTTACTGCTGCTACTGTTGCTACTACTGCTACTACTGCCACTGGCGGTGGCCAGATGCAGCTTCAGCGACGTCCACGTGAGTCCCTCACGCCCCAGCAGCTTAGTGAGTGGTACACTAGTTGGGGTTGTAGGGGTGGCCGCGCTGCTACTGCTGCTACTGCTGTTACTGCTGCTACTGCTGCTACTACTACTACTGCTGCTACTGGCGGTGGCCAGATGCAGCTCCAGCGACGTCCGCGCGAGTCTCGCACGCCCCAGCAGCTTCGTGAGTGGTACGCTCAGAGTAGAGGGTCTCTGAGTACCGTTCGCTGCCCGTACGTCATTCGCACTGGTGCTCGGACTGGTCAGGCTTGCGGGACGCTCAGTCACACACAGTCCCGCTGCTTCACCCGTCTGAGCGACGCTTGGCGTACCGAGTTTGGCGACTAGGCTGAGCTCCCCGTCTAGGTGGAGCTGCTTGGGCAGAGGGTAGATATATTTGCTCTTGACTATGATGCTATTCTCACTGCCATGTATGCATTGCCTACTAGTGCTGACCGTGCCTGTTACCTGTGCGTACCGCCTGGCCCAAGTATAGAGCGTGCTGCTCTAGGTGCTGGTGAGGCTGCTGCTCTAGGGGCTAGTGTGTCTCCTGCTCTAGGTACTGGTGAGGCTGCTGCTCCAGGTGCTGGTGAGTCTTCTCTCTCTGGTACTGCGCCTACTGAGGCCTTGTACACCTTCACACTTGACTCTGGTGCTTCTCGCTCCTTCTTTCGCAACAGCACCACCCTCACGCCGCTTAGTCGGCCGGTTCTAGTCTCCTTGGCAGACCCCTCTGGGGGTCCAGTCCGTGCGACCTCCTCCACTGTCCTCCCTTGTCCTGCTGTCCCGTCCGGCACACTGTCGGGTCTTTACCTCCCCTCGTTCTCTACGAACTTGGTGGCGGGTTCTGCGCTCCAGGACGCGGGTGTTCACCAGTTCACCCCTGCCTACGAGCGTGTGACACACTGCACGTGTGCTCAGATGGGTCGTCACCTGGCTACCTTCACTCGGCAGCCGGGGTCGGGCCTGTACACACTGACCACTGAGTCCCCTCAGGTAGCTACATCTGCGTCTGCGTAAGGTCAGTTGTCGGCCCCCTGCTCGTGTCGCGCCTTGTCGCACCAGACCCTCCTTTGGCACCACCGCCTTGGTCACCCCTCGGTGCAGCGCCTTCGCAGCATGCACCGCCGTGTCCTTGTCTCTGGTCTTTCCAGGGTTCTCCCTCCCCTGCCACCCTCGCCTGCTCCTCCCTGTCTTCCATGTGTCGAAGGGCGCCAGCGCGCCGCTCCTCACTCCTCCTCGTTCCCTCCCACAGAGGCTCCCCTGCAGACTCTCCACCTGGACGTGTGGGGCCCAGCCCGCGTCCGTGGACAGGGCCACGAGCGGTACTTCCTACTGGTCGTCGACGACTACACGCGTTACACCACGGTCTTCCCCTTGCGCACCAAGGGTGAGGTCCCTGATGTTTTGATCCCTTGGATCCGCGCTACTCGTCTCCACCTCCGCGAGCGGTTCGGGACGGAGTTTCCCGTCCTGCGTCTGCACTCTGACAGAGGTGGTGAGTTTTCCTCCGACCTCTTGGCAGCCTTCTGTGAGGAGCACGGCATCACCCAGTCATTCACGCTTCCGGCCTCTCCGCAGCAAAATGGGGTTGCTGAGCGCCGCATTGGCTTAGTCATGGAGGTCGCTCGTACCTCCATGATCCATGCGGCTGCCCCCCATTTTCTGTGGCCGTTTGCGGTCCGGTACACCGCGCATCAGCTCAACCTCTGGCCCCGTGTCTCCTTGCCGGAGACCTCGCCCACACTGCTGTGGACGGGGAAGGTTGGCGATGCGTCGCGTTTCCGGGTCTGGGGTGCTTGTGCCTTTGTCCGCGATACCACCGCGGACAAGCTCTCCGCCCGCGCTGTTCCCTGTGTCTTCTTGATCTCATCCTTCACGAGGAAATATCGCAGGGCGATGTGCTTCGTTCGATTCGCAAACCCGCTCTTGTTTGCTATGCGGATTGCTGATTGGTTGTCGTAGAACAGGGAGAAGCCAAGTAACTGAGCCAACTTCGCTTCTTCGAGTAGGTCACGGAGGTAGAGTCTTTCCTTGGTGGCTGAGCAGAGTGTGATATATTCTGCTTCAGCTGAGGAGAGAGCAATTAGCTCTTGCTTGCTCGACTACCATGAGACGGGGCCGATAGGCTCGAGTTGGTAGATGTAGCCAGTGCGTGATCGCCTGTTGTCAGAGTTGCCGGCGTGGTCAGCATCCACGTAGCCAATTAGCTTGGGCGTCGTAGTTCCGGTTTTGTGGTAGGTTAGGCCGATTCTTGTAGTGCTGACGAGGTAGTGAAGTGCGCGATCGAGTTCCGCCATATGATCCGCTTCAGTTTCTTGAGGTAGGTGGCAAGTTGGCTTGTTGAGTATGATAGATCCGATCGGCAGATGACAGCTGCGAAGAGTAGACAACCTAGCTTTCGTTGGTAGTTGCAAATGCCGGCGGGTTTGAGCAGAGTGGAGGTTTCCTTGCAAATTCCGTCGATGTAGCAGTATGGTGTGGTGATGGCGGCTGGAGTTAGTCCGAAGTGCTTGGCGATGGTGTCGGCGTATTTTGCGGCGGAGGTAGATTACGTTTTCCCTGTCTTGTATGTTGAGTCCCGGGTACTGTGTCATGGTAGACGAGACGGTGAGCGTGAGGTCCTGCTGCAGCTCCCCTTCAAACCAGGTTGTGATGCCGTAAGTGGAGCCTTTGTAAAGTAGGTCGTCTACGTAGACGATGATGAGCAGGATCTAATCGGCACCTTTCGTGAGTCGGTACATTCCTTGGTCATGCGGCAGTTGACGAAATCCGATGCGAATCAATCGGGCGTGTAGGATCCGATGCCACAGTCTCGAAGCTTGCTTGATGCCGTATAGGGACTTCAGCAATTGACATACTTGGTTGGGGTCTGCATTAGAGCCGTGCGGTCGCTCGACGAAGATCTCAGCATTGACGGGAGCGTAGAGGAAAGCGTTGGCGACGTCGATTTGGTGGAGCTTCTTCCGCTTCATGGCGGCTATCACGAGAAGAATTCGGAGAGACGTGTGTCGGCTAACCGGTGCGAAGGTTTCGGTGAAGTCTCGTCCATGCTCTTGGTCGAAGCCGCGTACGACCCAGCGCCCCTTAAACTTATCGATCGTTCCGTCAGCTTTGTCTTCACGCGAAAGACCCATTTTCCTGTGAGAACGGTTTTGTTGCGTGCCACTCCGATAGGTAC